ACACAAAATCTTTGCATTAATAAACTTTCGTTGAAGTTGGGTTCCCCGGCTTCTTCTCTCAAGAAGAAGGTGGAGGGTTTTTGGGGTTTTGGCGTTTCAGTTGTTTTCACAAACAGAGAAGGAACACGAGAGAAAGAGGAAACATCGCAAGGTTTTAATTTGGGGTTTCGGTGCAGTGGAGAGGACCTTTGATAAATTATGTTTTTGTCGGAATTTTCTACAATCTAGTTCTGAGAAAGTTTTTAGTTAACTATGTAGCTTCTTTGTTTATGTTGAACGGTTCATCTTAAGGATTTGTTATCATTACAGGTCCGTTATGCCCCACACATGCCCTTTGTGCTAAAGGGACTCACGTGCACTTTTGCCGGAGGGATGAAAACTGGAATTGTTGGGAGAACTGGCAGCGGAAAATCTACCTTAATTCAGGCACTTTTTCGTATTGTTGATCCTACAGGTGGCCGGATACTTATAGATGGCATCGATATCACAACCATTGGACTGCATGATCTAAGATCAAGGTTAAGCATTATTCCACAAGACCCTACCATGTTTTGAAGGAACTGTGCGTAGCAATCTTGATCCACTTGAAGAATACACTGATGCTCAAATCTGGGAGGTAATTGCATTTACTTCAAATATTGGTATTTTCTTTGTGATTAATAGCACATAGACCCCTTCTAGTATCGTTGTTTTGACCTTAGTACCCCTCGTAGTTTTGGGGTTGCAGATAGGCCCAATGGGTTAAGTTTTTGTAACTCTTTTTACACTGGCACTCACTAATTTCACCCTAAAACAATACCTGTCAAAACTTCACAGAGGTTAAAGAGTAAACAACTTTTCCCCGGGAGTCTATGACTATCAGCATCGATTAAACTAGAAGGGCAGTAAGTGGAAAATAATGGTACTACAAGGGGTCTATGTGCAATTAACCCTTTTCTTTCTGTTTGATGGCTCCTATTATGTCATACAAGTATCAGTATTTGTTAAATTATCATCTTTTTTCATTTTAATTTTTTTTTTTTATTTTAGGCCTTGGATTGTTGTCAGCTTGGAGACGAAGTTAGAAAGAAAGAGCTGAAGCTGGATTCTGCAGGTATAGTTCATATGGGCTATTTTGTGCTCTTTGGTACTTTTATCTCAGTTAGAAACTTGCATATCACGGTTTGTTATTAACCATGAAAATTTTTCGTATAGTGACTGAAAATGGTGAGAATTGGAGCGTTGGTCAACGTCAGCTTGTATGTTTGGGTAGAATTATTCTGAAAAAGAGCAAGGTTTTGGTTCTTGATGAAGCAACTGCTTCAGTGGATACTGCCACTGATAGCTTAATCCAGAAAACTCTGAGGCAGCAGTTCTCAGATGCAACGGTCATCACGATAGCACACAGGATAACATCAGTTCTTGACAGTGATATGGTCTTGCTTCTTGATGATGGTAAATAACTGAAAAATCACACGTTTTATTGTTTCAACTTCTTGATTAAGGTTGAGATTTCTGATATGAAATACATTTTCGCATGCAGGTTTGATTGTGGAACACAATAGGCCAACTAAGCTGTTAGAGAATAAGTTGTCCTTGTTCGCAAAACTCGTGTCTGAATATACGATGAGATCAAGCTCGCAGTTTTGAAATTTTGATGTTTAGATACCACGCTTTAGATGATGATGATAATTCATGAGAAGATTATATAGAAGACTGTAATTTGTGGTGGTAAGTGAAGATTCGGCTGAATAGTGTATACTACGCAAATATATGAACAGAGAGCTAGCTTCTGAAGGTATTTTTGTTAAGGAACATTGGAAGTTAGGCAAGAAAAATTTGTATGTGTATGAACAGAATGTACCATTTTGATATATATATATACAGTGCCTTTCTCCTACGGATTAATACGTACGGATTGAGGGCGAAATGAGTGGTTTTTGGGTTTTTTCGCAAAATGCTTCCGCTGATTGAGGCGAATCTCGTGACCAGCTCAAGCATTAAAAGCGGGGGCTCTTTTGCAAAATGGATCCGAAAGCTCAAGCATTAAAATCCCTCTCGTGACCAGCTCAAGGATTAAAATCCCTAGATCCGCTCCATCTCCAATCGGACCTCCCCTCCAACGCCGACGATCTCTCAAATCACCCCTCTCCAACCGGCCGGAGCTCCCTAGATCCGCCTCACCACCGCCGACCGTGACCCACTGTCCCCAACTCCCTCGAGCTCGATCTCAACATCCCCCAACTCAGGTAACCATTTATCCCCAAATTTGTTTACCTATTTTCGAGCAAATGGTGGTCCAGTCGTGTGAGCAACCCCCCGAACACCGCCAAAAAAAAATATGGTGCAAAATTATTGTGGGCTTTGATGATGTGCTGATTTATACCAAATTGATGTATTGTATGGTTTGAGTTTCTGCAGTTTCCAAATTAACTTATTTCAATTAACTTCAGTTCCAAATACGAGAAACTTGAGTTTTTATGTTCAAGACAGTCTGTAATATTTGTAATGGGATTACTTGCTTGTGATGTTTAAGAAAGGGGATTACTTGCATTATGTACGCCCTGAAGAGGGAAGTCCGTGTTTTAGTAAACAATGGCTTAACTGATGTGGAGCATCAGAAACCATGCAAAGAGCAAGGAGGTACAGAAGGACCGATTCATTCACCTTCAAAGAGCAGCGGAGACTCACTATCGAGCGTTTTTCTTTTTGTTCTGAAAACAATGGGACCTGAAAACAATGGGACCATTATGAGGCGAGCTCCATTTCTCACATCATATTGGTTCAGTTTATCTGCTCATGCATAGACCACTATTATTGTTCGACTTGTGCAGGGATCACTTGCTTCATCCAACCTGGTTCTCTGGCTATATTTCCCTGCCATCACAGCGTGTGCCTCAGTTGCTTTAAGAACAGTATCAAGGTTATGCATTATTTGCAGGGTTTCTAATTCCTGGTGGATCCTAATATACTGGATAAACTTGCGAACACTAGTTGGCCCCCTCTGGTAAATAGCTTATTGTTTTTAGATTCATACTGTTACTTTGTTTCTGTTAAATTTGTAGATTTGAGTAGAATGGCAGCTAAAAGTCTTATTGTAGGGTGATTATGAGAGCGAAAAATAGAAGCACGTTTCCCTACTTTTTCACCTTCTAAATGGTCCCAGGTTTGGAGGAATGCTCTACTGATTCTATATAGGTCTAACTGATGTCTTTCTCTGAATAATGGTTGAGGGAATGATCCAAAGCCCAAGCGTAACACCCAGCTGGAAACTGCCATTTGTAAGCTCAAGCATGCTTGCTCAAGAACATAGATATCCAGTGAACCGTATTTTATGGCTGAGTTTGTATTTCTTTTCTGGCGGTGAAACGAAATCTTTAAATCCCATATTTATTCATTACAGCTCATGTAAAATCGTTTGGTATGAAATCCAGCTCATGTTAAATTATGTGTTGTATTTGTATTATGATTCTCCGTTTTCACATTCTGTACAAGATAAGAAGTAAATTCATACATGTGAGGTTTCTGTGATTACTTTTCAGTTTATGTGAACAAAAGTTAGGAGCTTGTGTGATCTGCTCGTTTATTGTAGGTTTCTGTGATGACTTCTCAGTTTATGTGAGCTGATCATATGCGCTTTGATTTCTTGGTGTTGGAGGAGCTTCAAACATGTTATTGTCTATAATTAATTTAGTGAAATGTAAGTAGTAAGTTCTGATAGAATGAAGTGATATCTTCACCTGGGTATGCCTAGGTATACTTGTATTATGATTCTCCGTTTTCACATTCTGTACAAGATAAGAAGTAAATTCATACATTTGTATTATGATTCTACGTTTGTCATGAAATCCAGCTCAATGTTCTGATTATGATGCTCCGTTTTCACATCCCTAACAAAAATTTCGACCAGGATATCACAATAAAATGAGATCGAACTAAATGGGGTTGAAACTTTCGAGTATCAAAAGTGTAAAATCATGACCCAAGATAAATACATTGTCAGGAGACCATAATCAGATTCAAAAATTAGAAGTTGCAGATTCCTACTATCAAATACAAATAAGAATGCCAAACAAAATAATCAAACAAGTTACCAGCTTTCCTACTCTATCACATTCTCCATCAATTTGGCAATAGTAGCAGCAGTACAAGTAGAGACTAACTGATACAAAAGAGTGTTTTAACTGTCTCAAAGCAACAGTACAAGTAGAGACTAACTGGTACAAAAGAGTGTTTGTACGAATCAAAGCAACAGTACAAGTAGAGACTAACTGATACAACTTCATAACTTTAAATGCAAATCCCAACTCCAATTTTAGAAACTAACTGATACACCAGACTCAAACTTGCTATATCAAAACTGCCCATATGCAAATTTCCATTCTTGAATACAGTACCTGCAAGGAGCGTGCAACAAGTATACATCAGATGTAATCTAATTTGTAGAGTTAGAGGAAATATTGATATTTCATGTAATAAATCTGAAACAGAAGGTGACACTTGGATGATGAGCATGTCATTAAAATGAGCCATTACCCATATGCACTAAATAGAAGCATGTAGAAGACCGTCTTCATAGGAGCACATCATCCTCATCTTCACTTGATGACCCATTACCCTCTTGCCAATTTGTACCACCGCATGTAGAAGACCTACATTATAATGAAAAAATATATATATACACCAAGGGGATAATAGAAGGTGAAGAATAAGAAAGGCTTAAATAATAAAAGA